CACTTTATTATCGCTTTCTGGCCCACGTGTGATAATGTCCTAAGTGTAATACAGTGGTTATGTGCTTTTCAGGTTGTTTCTGACATGGTGAACCCAAGGCAAACGTATCACAGGGGTCTCTTCACAAAAAAATTTTCAGGGGAGGGGTTCCCATTGCCTTCCTCTGAGACTGAGAGAGTGTGACTTGCCCAAGGCTACCCAGTGGATTTCTATGGCTGAGTGGCAATTTGAACCCTTGTCTCCTGGAATCCTAGTCCAGCCCTCAAATCACTACACTATACTGGCTCTCTTACTGTATGATATGTATAGCCTTGGATACACTGTACAAATGTTTCTTCTTACTTATACATTGTAAAGATCCAAAACAACATGCATCCAGGAAAATATTACTTCTGGAAAGAAACTATACAGCCTATACATTTATTATGTCTATAACCTACAGTCACACACATCTAAAAAAAACAAAACAGTAGCTGAAAGCAGAAGCTACATGGGTGGTTTATAGCTGAATCCTGGGTTTTGAGCACATTGTAAAAAGCCTCACTGCAGCCATTATACAAGCAAAAGACACCAATGATTTATTTTCTTGATCAACAGCCCTATATAGAAATATACAGAAAGAGCACCAGGGTGGAAGCATAAGGGGAGAGGAAAACATCTTCAGGCTGCTACCATGATGCAGAATTAATGCAGTTTGACACTGCTTTAATTGTCATGGCTCCATCCTATGGAATCCTGGGTTTGGTAGTTTGCTGTGGCACCAGAGCTCTCTGACCGAGAATTCCATAGTATTGGGCCATGGGTGTCAAACTGCATTAATTCTGTAATGTAGATGCAGCCTCAGTCAGTGGGTGGTAGGATGATGTGTAAAAAAGAGCACCCAGATGAATGAGAGAGAAAGAGCAGTGGCAGGAAGTTGAAGGGATTTCCAGGCTGTGAGAAGCTGGGAACTTTTACTAGTACATAGTAACTTCCAGACAAGATCTAATTATTTGGTCAGAGAAGCAAAGAGACAAGTTTGTTTCCTTCAGAAACCTCCTTGTCCGGTCACATCTCAGGTATTGCTGTGGTATATAACTGTGGCTTGTTTGGCTTATTTGACAGACTTGTTTGAGTATGGTCCGATACATGCCAGGTTGAATAAGACCAATAACATGTAACCAATTCTGAGAAACTTTTAGCTTTGGCTGTGAAAATTAAGTTTGGGTAAAAAGATCTTCTAGTAAATGCTCCAAATCAGAAATCTGAGAACAGAATTGTCTAGAATGGTCACATGATGGCAGGCTGATAATGTATTTCCTTAGTCTACAGCTATATAGAAGAACTATAGTTCACCAACTATTTTTAAAAAATGGCCACAGTTCAGAAAGCATACATTCACACCCTCTTATCTGTTAGTTTGATGCAGCAAAACAACAGCAGCAGCAACAACAAAGCACTCCTTCCCAACAAGCACTGTCCCAAATACAAGTCTAATAGAGAATGATTACAGTCTGGCATCCATATGGAATGGCCTGCCATTCAAAGGACACTCTCAAAGGGTGTGTATTTACAGAAGCAGTGCCTTTCTGCCCACTTTTGTCCCCTACCTCTTCCCAGCCAAGCACAAAAGGTGGGGTGGGAGTGAGAGAACACATTTAAGAGCCACTTTCTTGCTTCCATAGTCCACATACTGTATATTGCTGCTTGGGGGGTTGCAGACTGCCAGAAATAGTGCAAATTGAGTCCACTTTTAGGGTTAGGGTTAGTGCTAGGGAATCATGGGAATGGTTTTTTTCCCTGAGACATATAGCCTTCTCTGTCAGAGAGCTCTGGTGCCACAATAAAATGCAGTTCCCATGATTCCTTAACCCTAACCCTAAAAGTGGATTCAATTTGCACTATTTCTGGCAGTCTGCAACCCCAGTTTAGGGAGATCTTTAAAAGCATGTGCCAGTTGCTGGAAGCAAAGAGGCATTAAAGCTGCTCTTTTGTTTTACCACTTTCTTTCTTTCTTTGATCTATGTATTCAAGCCTTTTTGCTCCCTTTCTGCCAGCAGAGGTCACATCCCCCTTTTTCCAAAAGTCAGTTAGTCCTTTGTCTCCCTTTGTATGGGAAGTTTATTGCATGCACTTTTCAGCTTGATCCATGCACAGGACGGGATTGGGCTGGAATGTGGGGAAACGGGTTTTACTGCACATGAAATTGCTGCTCTGCTGCTGTCTGACTGGCTGATTTTGGTAGTATGGAAGTAGTAAAACCCGTTTTCTCCCATTCCAGCTCATTCCCGTCCCATGGATAGACTGGACTGAAAAGTACATGTGATAAACTCCTGGGAAGGGAACATCTGTGAAGCTCCTACTTCAGGATAGCTTACATCCACACATGACATGAGAGGTGGCTTTAGGGGCTCTTCTACTGAGGTAATCTTTTTTTGTCAGATTCTTTTCCTATCCCAAGATGGATTTCCTGAAGTAAGAAGGCTGCTGCCACACTGAAGAATTAATGTGCAGTTTGACACTGCTTTAATTGTCATGGCTCTGTTCTATGGAATCCTGGGATTTGTAGTTTGCTGTGGTACCAGAGCTCTCTGACAGAGAAGGCTTAATAACTTGCAAACCTAAAAATTCCAGCATTCTATGACTCAATCCTATGGAATGGTGTAAAACTGCAAAAAAATATGCAGCGTAGATGCAGCATGTATGTAAGTTTTCCTTTTTTTTTTAAACCTTACAATTTGACAGTTGGGGAGAGCAGTTGGGGATTTGGGAGAGTTAAGCGAGAGAGAGAGAGAGAGAGAGAGCTGCATTTCTGGAAGTTCCTGAGGGAACTGTAAATTTTGTTAGTTGGAGTCCAGACGGGAGGGACTCGGAACACATACAGAACTCTTAAGGGAGGGAGTTACAGTTGTGTTATATCCTGAGGGATTTTGCTAGCCTGTGTGGCTGAAATATTAAAAGGGAATTGGAAACAAATGTTGTTTATATGTAACCAAGGGAAACTATAGTGACAATCTTTGATACAAGTTATATTTATTCCATTCTGTTCTAGAATAAACTTTTTTCTCATTTAAACATCACTTGGCCTATGTTTTCAAACCAAACCATGCTACTAACTTTTTAAAGTTTTTAGTGTGGGTTCTTTTACATATATTTGGGTGGCAGTGGTGGAACAACAAAAAACCCCAGGTCTGCCATCTTAAAAAAAAATCAGTGCTAAGATGAAAGGTGGCAAGAGGATTCGCCACATAATTTGGTGGTAGTGGTGGAATCTGACAAATCCGGTATCCAGAAGTGCGCTTGAATTCTAGGGGTCTGAGTACGAGATACCAGACACCCAATATTTGGTTTAAAGTGGAAAGATTGAAAAAACAACCTAGCCACAGATGCTGGCGAAACATCAGAAAGAAACTCTTCTAGAA